GAGAATAAAGAAATACAGTTATTTTCATATGACAAAATACTTTCTCCGGTGAAAATGTATGAACTGGAGCCACTTGGATAGATCTCAAAAAAGCACTGCTTTGAGTAAAAAGGTGGCAAGCGATCATACAGTACTATTTATATAAAGACTAAAAATATGTAAAACAATACTATGTAGCTTATGGGTACATATATGTGTAAGAAACAAATGTATTAAAGCATTCATTGGAATGAAAAACTCCAAATTCAGGATAGTAGTCTCTAAAGAGGGAGAATTGGAGAGGGCCACAGAGGGATCGTGAACCGTATTGGTTCTGTTTTATTTCTTAAAAATAAAAAATCTAGGGATACCTGGGTGGCTCAGTAGGAGAGCATGCAACTTTGGCTCAGGCCATGATCTCACAGTTCATGAGTTGAAGCCTCATATCAGGCTCTCTGCTGTCAGTACGGAGCCCACTTTGGAAACTCTCCCCTCTCTCCCTGCCCCCTCCCCCGTTCATTCTCTCTCTCTCTCTCTCTCTGTCTCTCTCTCTCTCAAATGTGAACCTTAAAAAATAATAATAAATTAAGAATCTGAAGGAAAATATCAAGGCATTTCACTCAAAACTCCCATATTATTGTTATTAACTATATGCTTTTTCTAAAAATGGAGCCTATTTTAGAGAACTGGACAGACAAAAAAATATATAAGGTTAAAAGTCACATTTTGGATTGATTTATTTCCCAGATTCCTTTTAAATGTGTTCTCCAGGTCAGAGAACTTTTTTTATCCTCTTTTACCCTTTTAGATATTGTAGTCCTTTTCCTGCATTTGGGGGAAATCCAAATGTCATAATCATTTACATCACAGACAAAAGAAGCTCCTGTTAATTATGGGAAGATTAAGATGAGGATTATGGCTACATAGCAAAACAAAATATCTTATTCAATGTTTCAGAGACATTAGTAAATGTTTTCTCACTTCGGTGGCATAACATCAGATCAGATCAGGGCTAATGTCCTTTTGGTGACTAAATCAGGACATTCTCTAACTTCAGCTCTCTCAACTTGTGCTCACTACCATCAGTTTTTTTTTTTAATATTTATTTATTTTGAGAGAGAGAGAAAGAACGCGCACACAAGCAAAGGGAAGGGGCAGAAAGAGAGGATAGAGAGAATTCCAAGCAGGTTCCGCACTGTCAGCACAGAGCCCGACATGGGGCTCGATCTCACGAACCATGAGATCATGACCTGAGCCAAAATCAAGTTGGATACTTAACTGACTGAGCCACCCAGGCGCCCCCCTACCATGACTTTTCTTAGGAACATATACTCTATTATCTCCTGCACTCTTACACTATTTCCTATTCAGTCAGAAATTATAAAAACAGATCCCAAAACAGTGTTCACCTGAGGATTAAGTTCTGTGTGCCCCTAAGAGATGGTGCTAAATTATTAACTCCAAATCCTCCTTATTCTTGCATTTAAGAATAAACCTGAAAACTTAAGAAGTCTGAATTTTAAGCAATATTAAGGAAACATTTAAACATTGTGTTTGTTTGTTTTTTATTGAGAGGGCTTTATAAGAAGCAAAGTTGTCTAGGATAGGGGTCCCCAGTCATAACAACCTTCAGAAGGTTATCAAATTAGCTTCCTGTTTCGAACTGGTATCTTCCCCTTTTCCACTGACACTAGAAATATTCTCCTGATTTTAGTTCTTAGAGTTCTCTGCCGCCTCTGCTCATCCTCAGAATTGAGTTTGCATGCCCTGGGCATCTAATAAATGCTTGTTCATGAGACCAGGAAGTTGATGGTGGTCCAAATGGATTATAGTGTTTCCAGTCCCAGCATTTATAGATAATATCTGTTGTGTCCCTGCCTTTGGGAAGAGAAGCTAACATCTCCCCAGGGTTCCCACAGATTTCCTACTGGGTACACCCTTATTGGTCCTGTGTCATCATTTTCTGTAGGCAGAGTACAGGCATCTTTCTCAATGTAAAAAAAAAAAAAAAAAAAAAATCAGAAGATCACTATTTATGACATCCCAATTATTTCCACTTTTACTTGTCCCTAACCTTGGTTTTCTCCACACTTCTCTAGCTGAAGTGTATATGCTATGTGTGGTCAGATCTTTCTATCTATATGCTGTCAATCATGGGCCATTCTTGTTTCTACTTGATTAGCTACATTTTGTTGCCTCCTCCACATTGGAAAACTGTTCATAATAAAACCAGCCAACATTTACTAAGCATTTACTTTGTGCACTGAGTACAAATATGATCTTTATCATTTCATATGCACAATAATCTCAGGTACTCCATCCCTGTTTTGCAGATGAGGAAATAGAGGCACAGGAAGATACTTTATTTCATCTGTAAAACCTTTCCATTATACTTCTGTGAGGAGCAAATACATCCTAGAGCTTTGTCATAAATAAGGCTTAGTGTAAACGTTTCACTCTTGCCTGCTTTATAACAAGACTCAATGAATGTTTTTAGAGGGGTGAATAAATAAATGTTATTACCTAGTGCATCATGTTTTCTATAGGTAGAATCCCCAGAACAATGTAAGGTGTGAATACACGAAGCACTGTGTCTGTAAGTCAGTAGTCACCCCCACCAATATATTCTTGTTTCTTTCTTTTTCCTTCCCCTTTCCTCTGGATTCCAGAATCAAGATGATTGTCTGATTGAATATCTTTAAAAGGTCATGATGAATTATTCTGTAATATTTGAAATGTTATACTCAGAAAGGTCATGCTTTATTTTTTGGTAAGAAGTACCACATAGATTTGTTTCTCCTGGGCACCATTTCTTTTTTCAAAGAAAAGATGGCAAGAGATTTAGAGCAGGGTGCCCTCTTGAGGAAGTTTTAGCACCTTACTTCTCAAAAGCTGGCACTGGATGACATGAGAAAGCCAGATGAATGATGCTCAAATAAACAAAACATTAAAAAGGAAGAGTAACCAAATACCAGACATCTGAGAATTAAGATTCTTAACTGTTATGATCTAGTATAGCAACATTAAGAATTTGTAAACAAAAAGAGAAACCTCTGTAAGGTATTTTTTTAATTAATTAATTAATTTTTTAATTTACATCCAAGTTAGTTGGCATATAGTGCAATAATGATTTCAGCAGTAGATTCCAGTGATTCATCACCTAGGTGTAACACCCAGTACTCATCCCAACAAGTGTCTTCCTTAATGCCCCTCACCCATTTAGCCCATCCCCCCACCCACTTTATTTCCTCTCATTGACTCAGTCCTTCAAGTAATCACCTATGTTGTGCCAGCAGCTAGCCAAACACCGTGCCCAGTAAAACACAGTCTCTGCCGTCATGAAGCTTACAGCTCGTGAAGGAGATCACAGGGAAGGGAAATAAACAAATATAAGTAACTAAAAACTTAGCAAAGTACTATGAAGGAAATGGAAAGGTACTAGAATGAAGCACAACAAAATAAGTTCCATTAGGGTGGTCAAGGAAAGCCTCTCTGAGAGGAAATAATTGAGCTGAGTCACTTTGCTTTTTGGTCCATTCCAAGTCTGCCCATCTAATATAGACAGCCTGATGGACACTTTTTTAGCCTCTGATTCTTATCTGTGGCCCAGCCCTTGAGCTGAGTTGACTCCTGTCTCTGTCCCTGTGGGTATGAGCAGGGAACCACCATCCTTCTGCACCTCATTGTCTCCCAAGCTGGTCCCTTTGCCTTAGAGCCTCACATTCATCACAATGGGGGGAGGGGCTGCTTAACTCATAAATATTTTCTTACTAATACTCATAGCCACTCACGGTAGAATATCAATACATTATAATTCTTAAAAAACCACATTTCCAACAATATTAAGGATGTAGAGGATCTCAGAAGATGAAAAGGACAGATAACCCTGACTGCCATTCTGCTTTGAATAGGGAGAGATAAACAGGCATGAAGCAGGCAGAGAACTTGACTATGTCTTACAGTTTCGTTATATTGACTTTCAAATATCTGTGGTACCAAGCAAACTGAAGGCTCCAACCAGAATTGGAAATATGGAACTATATCTCAGGAAGGAGCTCCAAAGAACAATTTTTTGAGGGTTTTGTTTGGTTTCAAAGCTACCATATTACACACACACACGGTTGACCTGGATCCCCACCAGTGGATTGCTCTAACCCCTGTAGCTAAGCTGCTTTCTCTGAATGGGTTGATTCTACCAGATTGGAGGGTTTAACTGCTGTGGAGAGTACTGCCTGCAAGTGGATGGCCTCCAGTGACTTCTAGGTTGGTGTTTAGGTGACCAGATGCATCTGGGACCCAAACTCCGAACAAGATTCATCTCTCTCAGTTGTACCTCTACGTAACTCTGCAAGAAAACTAACCACCTACTTTATACTTTAGTAACCAGATGACCGTGAACAAAATGTTCAACCACTGTGAATCTCACCTCCCTCACCTGTAAATTGGGATTTTAAATCTCTGATCATTTCGCAAGGTTATTATACTTTGAATATAAATAATAGGTGCTGTATGGGTCAGAATGTGCTAGTATATTCTTTGCTGCTACTGGATAGCAATTTGGAAAATACACCAAAAACTGTATAAACTCCTTTGGCACACTAAATTGATTCCTGATCATTTATTCTTATGAAAAAATTAAGGAAAACTATGTGGAAATAAATGTACATTGTATCATATTCTATAAAAGAAAATACTGGAAATTAGAATGGTTCAATAAATGAAACATTGACCAGCTATTTAAACTATTGTAAACTATATGCATGCAGTGTAAATTATATGCATATAGGAAGTGGTTGGAAGGGAACTTTCATAGTAAAACAATTGATAGAGTAGTGGGATTTTAAGTATTTTTCCTTTGATCAATTGATATATCTAAATATTTTTACTCTAGCAGAATAATTAAACTACTTAAAACATTTTAAAATTTAGAAAATTCCTTGGCCCCAAACTAAATTTCTTCTTACTGTTTCTTTCTATTTATTTATTTATTCATTCATTTATTTATTTATTTATTTATTTAGGGAAATTATCGTTTCATGAAACTCTTACTTACACGCAGAGCAAACTGGATGCAAAAGGATCTGGAAGAGATGACCCCTTTGCACTTGACCACTCGGCACAAGAGCCCCAAGTGTTTGGCGCTTCTGCTGAAGTTTATGGCACCAGGAGAAGTGGATACACAGGATAAAAACAAGGTAAGGGGGAGGGGGTGCACCTGGCTGCCTCATTCGGTTAAGGGCCCAACTCTTGGTTTCAGCTTTGGTCATGATCTAATGATTGCGTGAGTTCAAGCCCCACATCGGGCTCTGTGCTGATGGTGCGGCACCTGCTCAGGAGTTTCTTCCTCCCTCCCTCTCTGTCTCTCCCTCTCTCAAAATAAATAAATAAACTTAAATTAAAAAAAAAAAAAGGTAAGGGACTGCCAAAATCAGGAGGCAAATTAAGAGCAAAAGCAAATTCACATCCTTTTATGATGTGAAAGCTCAAGGAAGAACCACTGCTCCTACACATGGTGGAATGTGTTCTAGTCTTCATACTCCCCAGTGAAAAATTTCATTTAAATTCTGCCATTTTATCCTCCTACCAACCGTGTGTGGTAGGTAGTATCATCTCCTTTTCACAGATGGGGAAACTGAAGCTCAGGAAGATTAAAATTCTGTCCGAGATCCAAGAGGCAAGACTAGAATTCAACCCAGGCCTATCTCCAAACCCCAATATTTGACAGCTAGTAGCAATAGTTACCAAGGGTGAGTTTCCTTGTGGCCAAATGCCTGGGGCAATGTAGTAAGTGCACAGTGGTATAATGGTCTGGGCTTTAGCATCAGACTTCTTGAGTTTCAGTCTAGAAGCCACTACTTACTTGTTCTGTGCCTTTGGGAAAATTTTCTTAACTCCTCTGCTCTTCCATTTTCTCATGTGAAAAGGGGATGATAGGGTTGTTGAAGATAAAATGAGGTATATAAATATATATAGGGTTAAACCCATATAAATAGGGTATAACACAATTCCCATAGCATCGTCATAAAATAACTCTCAATAAATGTTAGCTATACAATAAATATTATTCGTTTCATTTTGGCTCTGACATCTGCTCTGGCACTTGTTGCCAGGATCAGTTATCCTCCCGGATCTTGAATTTTAACATACTGAACACGCCAGCCACTGTTTTGACCAATGCTTTGATCGTTCTTTACAGGAAATAAAAATGTGGTGTTCAGTTAGACAAGTGCAAAAATCCTCTTCCTTTCCACGAGGCACCGAATCATGGAGTTCTTGCTACCTTCAGCACGCCCATATGTGATTAAAACTCTTGGGATTAAACCCGCTGGGCTCATGTCCATTGACCCTTACACTGCCCTTCACAGGCTCTTCCTGTAGTTTTCAGAATTTGTTTACCCATGACTCACATAAGCCTGCATTCTGAAATCAACTCTGACCTTATTTTACAACTACTGTAAACCAGTATTATTCCTAACTCATACCATGTTTGTAGTGCTAATATTTCACTGAAAAAGCACTTTGATCAGTCCACAAAGCCCCATGAATCACTTACCAAGGCACAGATGTCTTCAGGCACCATGATGTCTTCCTCAGAATCTTCTAGGAACTCCCTGCTATTGTCCAGTACTTTTCTGTTCTGTTACTGAACAGGGATGGGAGGTTATCCGGCCAGACAGATGGAAAACAGATCTGCAAGGTCCAGGCAGGCACAGAGACGAGAACAGGACAAAAGCCCAAAGCAACGATTCTCAAACTGACAGGAAGGATCCGTTGTTTGTTTGTTTTTCTAATTTACACTCTTCACAGACCCAAAGTTTTGTATCATGTATTTAAACTGAACAACGTAAAACCCCCATGAGATAACACTTCACACGCTTTCGGATGGACTGTCATTACCAAAACAGAACATAACAAGCATTGGTGAGGATGTGGAGAAATTTGAACCCTGTGCAGTGCTGGTAGGAATGTAAGATGGTGCAGCCACCATGGAAAAAAGGATGGCAATTTCTCAAAAAATTAAACATGGGGGCACCTGGGTGGCCCAGTCGGTTAAGCGGCCAACTTCGGCTCAGGTCATGATCTCGCGGTCCGTGAGTTCGAGCCCCGCGTCGGGCTCTGTGCTGACAGCTCAGAGCCTGGAGCCTGTTTCGGATTCTGTGTCTCCCTCTCTCTGACCCTCCCCCATTCATGCTCTGTCTCTCTCTGTCTCAAAAATAAACAAACGTTAAAAAAAAAAATTTTTTTTTTTTAAAAATTAAACATGGAACTACCCCATGATCCAACAGTTCCACTTCTGGGTATCAACCCAGAAGAGCTGAAATCAAAAATGTGAGCAGATATTTATACACCCATGTTCATAGCAGCATTATTCACAGTAGGAGAATGATGACCACAATCCCAATGTCCGTTGATGGATGGTTAGAGAAACAAAATGCAGTCCATGCAAGGGAATATTATTCAGCCTTAAAAAGGAACAAAATTCTGACACACGCTACAACATGGATGAATTTTGAAGACATTATGCTAAGTGAAGGGCTGGGAACAGGTGGAAATTGGGAATTACTGTTAAATGGGTATGGAGTGTAGTTTAGGAAGATGAAAAGGTTCTGGCGGTGGAAGGCGCCGAAGTTGCACAGCTTTGGGAATGTGCTTAATGCCATTGCACTGTACATTTAAAAACAGTTAAAATGATAAATTGTGTTATGTACATTTTATCACAGTAAAAAAATAATAATCATCACTAGAAAAAATTGCTTAAAGATGTAGAAAGTACAATCCCAAACTTTGTACTATTAGATCCAACAGATTCTAGTGTTACATATTCAGAGCAAACATAATATAACAAAAGAATTACAGAAACTGTATATGTTGTTTATTGAAAATGTGGCTATAGGGACACCTGCCTGGCTCAGTGAGTAGAGCATGAGACTTTTGGTCTTGGGGTTGTGAGTTCAAGCCCCACATTGGGCATAGAGCCTACTTAAAAAAAAGAAGAGGGGCACCTGAGTGGCTCAGTCGGTTGAGCATCCAACTTCAGCTCAAGTCATGATCTCACAGTTCGTGAATTTGAGCCCTGTGTCAGGCTCTGCGCTGACAGCTCAGAGCCTGGAGCCCGCTTCTGGTTCTGTGTCTCCCTCTCTGTCTGCCCCTCTCCCGCTCACGCTCTGTCTCTCAAAAATAAATAAGCATTTAAAACAATTAAAAAGAAGAAGAAGAAAAAGAAGAAGAAGAGGAAGAAGGAAGAAAATGTAGCTATAGGAAATTATTTTCTATTATATTTGTGACTGTTTTTGTTCTACAGTCATTACTAAATAAAAAGTAATGAGTGACTCTTCGTATTAAATGCCTGTAGGTGCACTGTACGTAAATTCCACATATGTCAACAGTTAAAGTTTTTAGTGTAGCAAGTGAGCTTGGTTCCTACTGGCGAATGATCTGATTCTAGACTGGATTGATGATACTGCTGTTCATGAGAGATAATGTACAGCCCAACCATTTCTTTGTGTTTGCTCAGTGACTCTTTTAATACAGAGACCAGTCTTACTGTGGTTTGTTGATGAGAACGGCAGAGGGGATTTTAAAGCAATGCCAACAAGTTCAGGATGTTCATTTAAAAAAAATTTTTTTTCCACGTTTATTTATTTTTGAGAGAGAGAGAGTGTGTGAGTGCATGAGTGAAGGAGGGACAGAGAGAGGGGGAGTCAGAATCCGCAGCAGGCTCCAGGCTCTGAGCTGTCAGCACAGAGCCTGACGCAGGACTTGAACCCACGAACCGTGAGATCATGACATAAGCCCAACCAACTGAGCCACCCAGGTGCCCTTATTTCTTTCTCTAAGGAAGCTCCACGCCCAGTGCGGAGCTCGAGGTCATGACCCAAGATCAAGAGTTGCATGCTGTTCCTGCTGAGCCGCCAGGTGCCCCAACAGGATGTTCACTTTTAACTTTTATCTAAAATAAAGCCAATGTCGCTGTATTTGCAACATGTATCTTAACATCAGTAGTAAGTCTAACAATTTATCCTATAAAATCATAGTTAAATTTAAATTTGTACTTTGATATAAGAAATGGATTCCAAATCCATGATTTCCTATGCATGGATCTTCTTTTTGATAGATACTGAAATTCAAAACATTCTATCAAATTCTTAAAATGCTTGGTGCGATATCAAGATTGTTACTTACCTTGTTGATAATTATTCATAAACCACCGGCCTGCTTTTCTTTTTCTCAGTATTACCACTGATTAGTACCTGATGACCTAAATGCCTGTCATGATTAAGAGGTCAGACTGCCTCTTCAGACTGCCTGGATTTAAATCTCAATCCGGCCGCTTAACTACCTTCATACCCCTGAGCAGAGCACTCATCCACCTTGTGCTCCCTTTCCTCATCAATCACATGCAGAATCAAGAGTACTCATTGCCTAGAGTTATCACGATGACTATATGAGGTAAAATACAGAAAGCTCTTACAACAGTGCCCGTCACACAATAAAAGCTTGGGGGAAATCTGTTGTGTTACTGTTGCTGTGTTTCTGAGCCTCTCGCGATTTTGCAGCAAACGGCTCTGCATTGGAGTGCCTATTACAATAACCCGGAGCACGTGAAGCTGCTTATCAAGCACGATTCCAACATCGGGATCCCTGACGTCGAAGGCAAGATCCCACTTCACTGGGCAGCTAACCATAAAGATCCCAGTGCTGTTCATACGGTGCGATGCATCCTGGTGAGTACGGTGGTGTTGCTGGCCCCGGGCTGCCTTGCTGACAAACAACTTTTTTGTTATGAAATAGCCAGTATACGAAAGCGTATATACGACACACAAACAAATTATGAACCAGAAGAAACAAAACAGGCACGTGAACCCATCACTCAAGAAATAGAACACGGTAGTGCTGCTATGCTGCTATTTAAGACCACACAGAATTTCCGACATGCCGGTTTCCAAACACATCCTCTCTACTTAAGCCACACTTGCCCTTGTCCCCCATCAACTACTTTCCTGAATTTGTATTTATCCTTCCCTGGCTCTGTTTTATACTTGCGCCTATTAAACACTGCGTAGAGATATCTGTAAAATGCTTGTAAGACATAAAGAATACAAGGGGCACCTGGGTAGCTCAGTCCATGGAGCGCCCAACTCTTGATCTCAGGGTCGTGAGTTCAAGCCCTGTGTTGGGCATGGAGCCTACTTTAAAAAACAAAAAAGTTGTAAAGAATATAGAAACCACAAATATTCACGTACTCATCTCTGAGCATAAGAACAAGTACATTAACCGTTACCTTTGAAGTTCCCTGGGTACCTCCCAACACCATTCTGTTCTTGCCCTTTCTGAGAGGCAGCCATTATCCTCAATGATGTGTTTATATTCCTGATTTTCATTATAGTTTTACCACATATATTAGTATCCCTAAACACTACATTGTTTCATTTTTGATGCTTTTGAATTCTGTATACATGGAATCACATTGAATGTATTCTTTTGCAACATGCTTTTCTTGCTCAATATTATGCTGGTGATTTTATCTATGTTGCTGTGTGTACCTGTAACATATTATTTTTTGCCATTATGTAGTATTCTATTTTCTGAACAAGCCATACATTATTCAGTTATTAACAGACATTTGGAACTATTTCTATTTTTTTGCTACTTAAAAATAGTGCTGCTTTATGGGGTGCGTGGGTGACTCAGTCAGTTGAGCGTCCAACTCTTGGTTTTGGCTCAGGTCATGATCTCACAGTTTCGTGAGTTCAAGCCCCATGTCTGGCTCTGTGCTGGCAGTGCAGAGCCTGCTTGGGATTATCTCTCTCTTCCTCTCTCTCTGGTCTTCTCTGACTCATGCTGTCTCTTTTTCTCTCAAAATAAATAAATAAACTTAAAAAAATAAAAATAGTACTGCTTTTATTTAAAGTGATTTCTATAGCCATCATTGGGCTTGAACGTGAGTTCAAGGGAGATCAAGGGTCGAGTGCTCTATTGACTGAGCAGTCAGGTGCCCCTGAACTTTTATTATTTTTTGTTAGTGTACTAAGATGTATGTTTAACTGGTAGTTGAAGGCACATGGAAATGCAGTTGATATTTTTGTTCATTGAATATGAATCTAACCAACTTGCTTATTAATTTTTATTACTTTCTTATTAATTTTGAATATTTATCAGTGGATTCTTTGAGGTTTCTAATCAGTGCTTCTCAAATTCCAGCTTATAAGCTATGATAGTCTAATATTTAGTCCTATTTGCTTGTAACACACAAATTAGACTTTAAAAGATAATATTCTTTTGTATATGCAATAGTTATTTCTACCCACATGTTAACTGATTCCTTTGCTCTGCATTGCTCCTTGAATCTCAAGTTTTCCTTCTGGAGTTAATATCTTCCTGAAATATAATTCTAAGAACTCCCTTTAGGGATCTACCTTTAGGGTAGATGTATTGGTGGTGAATGCTCTCTGCTCTTAAGAATATCTACATTTCAGTGTGTCTGGGTGGCTAGTAGGTTAAGCCTGACGTAGGTTAAGCGTCTGACTCTTGATTTGGGCTCAGGTCATGATCTCAGGGTTCGTAAGATTGAGCCCCATGTCAGGCTCTGCGCTAAGAGAGAAAGCCTGCTTAGGATTCTCTCTCTCCCTCTCTTCCT